TCAATGCCCTTTGAGCCGGGTTCATCAGCCCACGGGCCTAGTTAGCCTCGTGAATCAATCCAGGAGGAATGGACCGACCAATGTGAGAGAGCTTTCCTCCAATTGAAAGGAAGTCTAACACAGGCTCCTGTCCTTGCCTATGCTGATCCTGCCAAGCCTTATGAACTACATGTGTATGCTAGCAGAGAAGGGCTAGGAGGAGTACTATACCAGGAATATGATGGCCTCCTGAGACCGGTGGCATATGCGAGTCGGGGTCTCACCCCTTCTGAGAAGAATTATCCCACTCACAAGTTAGAGTACCTGGCCTTGAAGTGGACAGTGGTGGACAAACTAAAAGACTACCTGTACGGGGCCAATTTCGTGGTCAGAACCGACAACAATCCACTCACTTACATTCTTACCACAGCAAAACTGGATGCCACCGGACACAGGTGGTTGGCTGCCCTGTCAGGATTCCGCTTCAGCCTCAAATATCGTCCTGGAGTTAGTAACCAAGACGCGGATGCCTTATCCAGAAGGCCCTATAGCACAGTGGCCCAAGAAACAGAGTGGACCCATTTGACTCCAGATGGAGTTCAAGCCCTATGCCAAGGGGTGGAATACCGAACCAAAGGAGTAATTGGAGCAGAGGCCATAGGAGTCATGGCTGCGGGTGTCCCTAGACTGTATTGCAACCCTACACAGATGAGGAGTGAGGGCCTGCCTACCTTCACGAAGAAGGACCTGAGAGTAGATCAGGCTGAGGATCCTTTGATTGGGTTAACCCTAAGAGCAATGAAAGCAGGTCAAAGAGGGCTCCTGTTAACTGATTCACCAAAAGAGGCTCGACTGGTCCACAAAGAGTGGGAATTAGATATTAATGTTGATTGCATTCAATCTAAGTATATTATCTGAGACATTCTGACATTGCAGGCTTTCCTGCATTCAATAGATTGCTGCTGCTTGTCAGATTGCCTTATCATGTTATTGGTTGTATTACATGTGATTGGGGAGCCGTTAAGTGTTTGTTCTATTCCATAGTCATTAAATCTGTTATAAAACTTCACAAGGTGTGCTGTGGGTTCATTGCTTGTGGTGTGTCACAGAGGTGAAACAGAAGACCCCGATCATCCAGCGGCTCCTTCGGGGGTGAGCGATACATAAGATTCCCACAGCCATGACTCCCGGAGAGAGATGCATCATGGGATTTGTAGTTTCACCACAGCTGGGGTTCCGAGTGATGATATGTAGAATGCTCTGTGCACTATTTGCGTCCCCCCTCCCCCATTTCAGTGCCGTTTGATCTCCACTGGTCTCTTTCAACCACTTCCTGTCTACATGTGCTTGCTCCAGTGTTAGCTGCACATCATTGCTCTACATCAGCTTCCCGATAAGACATGCAAGCTGCGGAAAAATTTGGTTTGGTTAATTTCGGAATTCGGACCCGAAATTCAAATTCTGTTTTCGGATTTGGACAAAATCCGAATTTTGTTCGTTTCGGATGAGTTTACGAATATTCATTGCGAGTAAAACAGAAAAAACAAATACAGATATATTAATAGTAAAGCCGAAGCTCCCAGACCTGCATGGTATTCTGGATCTGATTTTCCAGAATTGCATTCGGGAGCTCCAGAATGCCATTCGGGTCTGGTTGCCGTATACATACATTACGCAAGCGGAGGCTCCCAGACCCGAATGGTATTCAGGAGCTCCTGAACGATATTTGGAAATTCGGATCCCGAATGCCATTCAGGTCTGGGAGGGGAGGTATTGGCCAATACTACTGCTCACAACACCTTGGAAAATAGTGCTCTTCCAACCTTGTGGTAAGTTTGGTGACGGCGCTGTTCTGTTACACCATGACTATGCCCCTGTGCACAAAGCCAGTTTATAAAAGACACCCTCAACCGGAGCTCCTTTGGTGTGGAGGAACTTGAGTGGCCCGCACAGAGCTCTGACCTTAACCCTGTAGCAGAGGGTTACGGCTCCTTCCTGGCCATGGACTGCTCTGTTCACCAAGGTTCTGCCACTGTGCTATTAAGGACAAGGGAGAGGCTTAGAAAAGGGTTGTTGTCCAGAGAACAAATCATGGCGTGGGCAGCACTCCAAAATGGGTTCTCTTTCGAAGAGGCAGTAGTCGCTATGCCTGGCCTTGGGCCCATGAGTTATAAGAGACAGAGTTGGGGTATTTACAAATATACAGACCTGGAGGCTGCATACAAGTGATCTTGGTGAAATCGCCGAGATTACTTGTACAAAACAAGCGGCTTCCCCGCTGTAGATTTAGCTCTGCTTACCCAAAGCAGGGCTAAATGAAGAAGACTACCTGCCGGCGCTGGGAACTGAATGTCCCGGGCATCGGGAGAGAGGAATTTCACACCCCCGCTGCCCCTCTACTCCAAGGCCGGGCCTTGGTTGGCCTTGTATGCAGTACTGTGAGCCCCACAGCACCCCTCTTTGCTACTAGACACTGGGACAATTATGTAATTTTACCTGCCACAAGTCCGAAACCCTTGCCCAAAATGTTTGAATCCAAATCTTTTCCTGTATTTGGGACTGTATCCGTTAAAGTTTGTGAATTCAAATCGACCATGAAGTAAAATTGTGTTCAGTGAAGATAACAGCATGTGAAGTGGGCCAAGTTGCTGTATTGTTGCAGGCAGAAAATAAAAATTGCATATTTGCTTTACTAGATGCAAAATTAAATAATTGCTCTTTGAGACCTGTGTACAGCCAATAGCTGGGGAACTCATTGCATATGTGGATGATGGTGGATGATGGTGGATCAGTCAGTGACAGCGGCTGGTCAGGTTCCTCCAGCGCATCAGTTATGACCCAGGTATGGAAGGCGACCCTCCCAGGGACTGAACTGGAGTACTTCTATAAGTAATTAAAGGACCCCGGGCCAGGCATAGTGCTGAAGTTATGGACCTAAAGAGTGTGTTGAGGAGGCAGTGGGTAGAGAGGTTGAAGTTTTAGGTCACTGCCCCTACAAAGTCGATATCGTAGGCCTCCATCCAGGTACTTGCTTAACAACCTAGCAGCAAAGATCCGCTTTTACAACCCTTTTGAACGCATTTCAGATAAATTGGAAGGCAGATTTTTGTCTGCGGTTGGTCTTCAGTAGTGATGAGCCGAACACCCCGTGTTCAGTTCGTATTTAAACGGCCGAAAAGTTCGACTACGAACTCGATACAAGTAAATGGGGGGGGGCGGTCGAACGTTCAAAAATAAATGTCCCCTTTAAGAGGGCTTATACAGGCAGCCCCCTGCCGGTACATTTAGGAGAACTGTGGCTGCAGTGGCCTGTGTCCCTTCAAATCCCCGCGCCTGTGTTGGCGGAGAGCGCCTGTGTTGTGCCCCCCGTACCTCCGCTGCTGTCCCGGCCTCCAGTCCCCTGGTCCGTCGGCTTCTCCGATCCGGCCGCGGCTCCTCTGCCCCACCCTCCTGCCTCCTCTTCATTGCAGGCTGGGAGCCATACCCAGTCTGCTATTGGATAATGCAATAGCCAATAGCAAGCTGGCTATTACACCCGCCCCCTTCCTGCTGTCAATCAGCATGGGAGGACCTGATAGAGAACTTTCCTTCAGGTCCCTCCTCTGCTGAGCCCTGATTGGGGAAAGTCTTGCACCTGACCTGTGGTCAGGTGCAAGACTTTAACAAATCAGAGCTTCAGTGGGTATTTTGCATTATGGAGTGTCCACGGTCAAACAAACTGCGAACATCCCATAAAGTTCTGCGTTTCGGCGAGCGCTCAAACTACCGATGTTCGAACCGAACACTCGGCCCATCCCTAGTCTTCAGCCACATGCTCTGTTTCCACTGTGGTCATCTTACCTGCCCTGGCCTTGACCCAAGAGACGGACTTTCCTTCCAGCAGCTCCCACTCCTCTCTCTGATCCAGACAGGAAGAATGAAGCCAGATCACTGCCAGGACCGTCGCCCACACTGACGCCTCCACGTTCTGCAAAGGAAAGAAGACAGACATTTTCTCATACTGTAGGCAGCAACGCATGTTCCAGCTAAAATATACCACCTCAAAACAGCATGAAAGTATCACGCTTCAGTAGGACAACTGTCATTTCAGGCTCTCAGAAGCTGCACACCACTGGATTATAAAAAGACAAAACTAGTTAAAAAAAAATGTCAAAGGTTCCTTTAGGACAGGGGTAGCCAAACTCTGGCCCTTACAGCTGTGCAACTACAAGTCCCACAAGGCATTGCAAGACGCTGACATATGCAGGCATATCTCCCAGAGGCAGATGGATGATGGATGATGGATGATGGATGATGGATTTAGAGTTTCACCACAGCTGGAGGGCTGAAGTTTGCCTACCCCTGCTTTAGGCGAACCCAACACAGCCTGGCTGGTTTTCTAGTTGTGGTGCTCCTCAGACCTACCTCTTTAAAAAGACATCATACCCATATCTTGCAATAATGAAAGCCAATCCTGTATCTGGGATAGAAATCAGCTCTGGGTGGACAGTTGGATAAATGGCCCTATATTTAGGATGTATCTGGTCTATAAATGGCAGCTATGGGTGGACAGTTGGATAAATGGCTCTATATTTAGGATGTATCCAGTCTATAAATGGCGGCTCTAGATGGACAGTTGGATAAATGGCCCTATATTTAGGATGTATCCGGTCTATAAATGGCGGCTATGGGTGGACAGTTGGATAAATGGCTCTATATTTAGGATGCATCCGGTCTATAAACCAACAGGTCAGAACTCTCAGGCAAAGGAGCCTAAAAGTAAGGGAGACATGGTAATAGACGTGATCATAAGTTACTTTAATGAAATGGTCTTCATTTCACATTGTCTCTACATGCAGATTATTAACGCTTCACAGTTGGTGTTTCAGCATTTGTACATTACCGGAACAGAGCCGCTTTCTGTGAAGTTTTCAGGTATTCCCAGAATGGTGGCAAACTCCGAGGTGGCTTCCCAGGAGCCGTCAGCTTTCTGCAGAGCGATCAGTCTGTACAGGACGGGGGTCTCCACTGTTGCAGGAGTAACTTGTTCTGTGGGGGAAAATGTAAAAATCAGAATGTGCTATCCTTAGTAGTTCTCCAAGAGAGGAATTAGTGTACATAGCGTTAAAATAAAAGGAGAGGGATATGGGTCCAATAAGCTGTGTTCGTGTCATCTCTAGACATTATTTATACATTTTGGATAGAGTTTTGGGAAGTGTTAGAGTTGGTCAGTTTTTTTCTCCGATGTCTGTGTCCTGAATTTCCCCTTCACTTCCCTGTCCCAGAGATGCAACAGAAGCAAGAGGAAATGTTTCCAAAACTACAAGGCAATTCCAATAGTGGTCACCGAACAGGCTTTCCCCTTAAGGCTATGTAGGGTCCCCTCTTAATGAAGGCAAATGACCCAGTTAAAACATCATGAATAAAAATGAAACCACAGCCGAAAGAAAGATTAATTATGACACGGGGCAGAGCTACTGCCAGTGCGGCTGCACAAGGGCCCGAGGCTGTGGGGGGGCCCAGTGAGGTCAGGTCCTGGGCACCCCCCTTTGTGAAATATGGGGCAGTGCAAGGTCCCTAGGGCCCCGCACTGCCGACGTGCTTCCCAGCAAAGGGGCGGGATCCTGTGACTCACCGCTCGGTCTCCCGGCTGCGTCCTTAGTAACAGGAGGCGGGAGAGGAGACACATGTCACATGCCCCCACCCCCAGCACACCGTCTGGCTGGGATGCGTGAGGCTCTGGCCGGGTGCGTCCGAATGAGGATCGGGGGCAGCGGGGTACGCTTGTAACTGCACATTGAACATGAACAGAAACTCAAGTCACAGAACACAGACAGGACTCCCATCAGGCTGGTTTAGAAGCAATTATAGATACACAGGAGTAAAAGGCTCCGGTCTCCTCTGTTCTGTATACTCCATATTACCTTGTGGAATTTCCCCAGGTAGCGACCCGGTATTGAGAGATTCTGGCAAATTGGACCGATTGCTAAATTCTTCTGGGCCGATAACTGCACAGAGACAAATAAAAGGTTACAATTTGGAATGGAGGACTGTCCACAGAGCGCACCACTTACCAAAACAACTCAAAGTCTATTTTCTTTGCCAATGTTTGTTCCCTGGGACCTTACACCAGATTGAAAAGAGAGCGATGCAATTGCATTCACAGCTATGCATGCCCATTCAGGAGTGGACATACCATTTGTGCAGCTGCACATGGGCCCTTTACACTCTGTGTGGATCAGATGGGTTTTGGGACCCCTGCTGTTGTTGGCCCACAGTGAATTTTTTGTTTTTTTTAGAGCGTAGTTGAAGTCCGTTGGAGACTGTCCGCCACAGTGTCCACAGGGCAGCAAGTTAATGTGTGCATTGCACATGCAGTTCGTTTTTTATTGGGGCCTTAACGCGCCCACACTATAATGATGGAAGTCTAGTTTTTGTTGTATTGGGTCATGTGTGCTTTTTAGTCATCAGGACAAAGAACAATCTCAGGCCTCAGTAAAAGCCAGAAGGTTCTTTGTTGAAGTCTTCTGCGCCGATACCTGCATGGTCTTAGTGCGCACCTTATTCACACCTAATGGAAATGGCCCTTGTGCAGCTGCACAGTCTGCACCCATGTTGCATTAAGAGGAAAAAAAAAAAAATGATTAGGTTGAAGACCAATTGATGGGTTTTTCTGCAGTAAGATCCCACCAACACATTGATCTTTCCCCAGCGAGATTCCACCCCCAGCATAGATCATCTTTCCCCAGTAGGACCCCCACCTCCAGGACACCCCGATCTTTCCCAGTGTCCTCATCACAGTACACACATCTGAAGTTCTCCTTCTGCAGTTTGTGTAGTATGCAAAAGCCACCAAACTGTATATCGAACAGTTCTCTTCCCTTCCCCACAGACATTGTTCACCAGGTCCAAAGGTTCAGAAGAACCCCCCCCTCATCTGCATTAGGAACATTTCTAATTGATTTTCAGTAGAGTGCTTCTTAGCTCCTTTCAGCCCACCTCCCCATAATCCTCCAGGTTATAGCATCTCTTTGGTCTGTGAGCCTCGATGCACCATTGTAAATGTAAAGTGTTACAACGCAACGCTTTCATGGGTGAAGATATCTCAGCAGTTGGTAAGGGTCCCTGTAGTTTCAGCCTCTTGGGCTAAAGCTACACTCAGCGCCGGATTTCCCATAAGGCCAACAAAGCCCCAGCCTTGGGGCAGCAGAGTTGTGGCATTCCTATCTCCCATTGCCCGGGCGGGTAGTTTTCTACATTTAGCCCTGCTTTGGGCAAGCAGAGCTAAATGTGCAACAGAGAAGCCACTGCTTGTTTTGTACAAGGGATCTCAGCGACCTTGTATGAAGGCTGCAGGTTGGGGGGCGGGGGTTTGGCAGATAGGGGGGCGCATTGAGGAACCTGGCCTTGGGGCAGAAGAGAGTAAATTCGGCCTTGGCTACACTGATAAAGCAGGAGATCCAAGAAAGTGTAAACTCCTCTGGTTCCCCTAGATAGACTGGCTCAGTGTTCTCTGTACAGCACTGCGGTATATGTCAGAGCTACACAAATGTACAATAATAGTGTGCGGCTGTGAGGGGAAATTAGAGTGTAAGCTCCTCTAAAGCAAAGACTGATGTGGCTCAGTGATCTGTGGAGAGCAGTTTTGAACATATTGGAGGCAAGTGCTCAAGTCCAACCAAATGGCTGATCTGCATTTTCTAGATGTTGAACTCACCTGCAGACTCAAGGATTGCAACAGGCGCCATGTCAGCCAACACCACTGGGGCAGAGTCGTAACAAATGGATATCGATTGAGGCATATAACAACAGGCCATGGCTGCAAATACAAAGTGCATTCATAATGCTGAGAGCTGGACAACACCGTGGTATGTGGTGGAGCAATAAATTTGAAAATGCAGAAAAAAAAACCCACCCACCCCACTTACCAACTGGAGGGCTGAACCTTTGCACAGAAGGACCCTCTACACGTGTCTTTGTGTCCTTGTTGATGGCTACATAGGCTGTGAGAGAGGAGACAACACCAGACTGCAGGCTGGTTTCCAGGATCCTCTTCTTCACCTCTTCAGACTCCTCTTCAGATTCCAGGAAAGAAATTAGATTTTTGGCTGCCAGTCTGTGGATGGTCGGCCTGAGAAAGGAGAAGGGGGATACATAGGGGAGTAAAGGCCTAAAAATAATAATGTCCTGCCAGAAATGCAGTGTCCCTATACCCCCCCCGTGCTCTGATCTGAAATCTCAAACAATGCCATCAGCCTTCCTAGCTGAACTACAGAACACCTCCCTATATGCAATGGAGATGAGAGAGAGTAAGGGGTTCTGTCGTCTTAACACTTTCTCCTAGAGTAATAACACTGCATGGATACAGAAGAGTGAGTGAAAAGGCATGAAGTGTGTGACTGGCAGGATTACCATGAAAAAAAAAAAAAAAGGCCTGGATAAAAGCAAACTAATGCAAGTAACGGGCAACGTCCACATGCGATACTGAACCACTGTAATTGAAAGAAATGAAATCCAATGAATGAAGGAGAGTTGCATGGACAGTCTAGCTAGAAGATACTGGGTGTCCTCCAGCCAGGAAATGAAGCGGAGCTCTATCTGACTCGCTGCAGCTTCTAATGCACATTGTGGGAATCGCCCAGTGTGCAGTGACATCAGAGGAAGCCATTTCAGCCCAGGAGAGGCGCTAACCCTTCACAACTATCTAAACATTAAAAAGTCTTGACGGGATGAACAGTTGGTAAGATGTCTAACCATCAATATACACCCCCTCCCCCATCTTGTCTACTTTGACTTTTGGCCTTGCAGTCTTCGGTTGGCCCCTTATGCACGGCATCTACAGGTGCCCAGTGAGGATTCCAGCCTCGTCTCATCCGTCCATGGTCTCCAGCTTACCTCTCTACATTGTCCATCTTCAGGAGAAACTGCAGTTCATTGGTGAATACTTCATCTCTAAAGTTGTACTGTAGAGAGACCCGGACTTCCTTCTGCTCCAGCTGCAAGAAAGTGAAAGATTAAATCCTCCCAATGCTGAGGGCACGTGGCCTGGTAAGGCGCAGGGAGAAGGGGGTCGCTCGATCGCCGCCCCCCTTTCCTGCCCTGCCAGTGCTCGGATCAAGGGTCTGGTAGGACTAGGGGGGACCCCATGTTTCTCCCCCCCCCCATTTTTTGGGGCTGGGGTTACCCCTTAAAATTCCTACCAGACCTAAAGGGTCTGGTATGAATTGGGGGGAACCTCACTTTTTTTTAAAAAAAATCTTCTGCAAACGGAGAAAAAAAAAAATGCAAAATTCGATCGGAAAAAAAAAAACGAAATTTCGACCGGACTACCGCTAACGAATTTCGTCCGAATCCAAATTCCGAAACTAATTTAATTTCGGATCAAAATCCGAAAAACTAAATAATGCAAAATCAAAACGAAACTAAACAAATTTTTTGCTGGTGCACATATCTATCCCCTCATGAGTTTGGTTGCCCTCCGCGGGACTATTTCCAGCTCAAGGACATCCTTTCTGTGGACCGGTGCCCAAAACTGGACCGCATACTCCAGATGAGGCTGAACCAGTGATGTGTAAAGTGGCAAAATTATAGACTTGTCCCTGCAATACATTCCCTTCTTAATACAGGACAGGACTCTGCTTGCTTTGCTTACAGCAGCCTGGCACTGCAAGCTATTGGTGCAATAGGTAGGAGAAAGATTAAGTTCCGAGGACCCCTCCCCCCATTCTACGACGGTCATTCCAGTTTGGTGGATGGCCTCTTTCATGCCTCTTCTGAACCAGTTATCCTCTATCCAAAATGTGCACCTCACTGGTTTTGAAAGAATGTTCCTTCTTCCTTAAGGTGTAGGTACACTGCCAAGTCCTGAACTGTAGAAATGTGCCATCCTTCCCGTGGTCATTGGATTGAGGTGTCTAGGCTGGATATAAATATGGGAGCATGTTCATACTCATTAGCACGGAGTGCGTCTTTGAGAAGCTATAAAACGGAAAATTTAAATCATACTCACCGTAATTTTCTTTTCCTGGTTATATTCCATGGCAGCGCTGACAATTGGGTTTAGTCCTAATACCCCTAGTTGACAGGAACAGAAAGGGTTAAACAGTACCACCCTTTCCCATAAAAGCCCCTCCTACTCCCCAGCTCCTCAGTCTAAGTACCAAGTCCAGTATACCAAGGGTGGGAGTCTAGCTCTGCCATGGAATATAACCAGGAAAAGAAAATTACGGTGAGTATGATTAAATTTTCCGTTTTCCTGGTCATATCCATGGCAGCGCTGACAATTGGGATTTACCCAAGCACAAGATAGGGAGGGAAAACAAGACCAAGAGCCACCGTAATGCATGCTGAAAACCTTTAATGAGAGATACCATGGCGAGAGAGTAACACACTCCTGCCAAACTGGTCATTAGCTGCAGCTCTAACATCCAATCTGTAGTGTTTTATAAACGTATTTTTGGAAGCCCATGTGGCCGCTCTGCAGATGTGGTCTGATGAAAACCCTGCCGCCGCAGCCCAGGAGAACGACATAGCCCGAGTGGAGTGAGCCCTGATTCCTTCTGGCGGAGACAACCCTGCTGCCTGATAGGCGTTAATGATGGTGCAAACAATCCACTGGCTCAGGGTAGCCTTAGTTGCTGCTTGCCCTTTCCTTGCTCCTGCTGGAATGACAAATAGTCTTTCAGACCTTCTCCACATCCTGGATTGTTCCACGTAGATCCTGAGACAGCGGACCAAATCCAGACAGGCGTCCCTGCCCTGTGAATCGAGAGCAGGCAAAACTATATCTTGATTCATATGGAAGCTGGAGTGTACCTTTGGTAGAAACTCCGGAACAGTCCTTAGAACCACTCTATCTTCCTGGAAGATAAGAAAAGGCTGTACACAACTGCAGGCCTGGAGCTCCGACACTCTTCTACCGGAAGCCAAGGCCACCAAGGAGACTGTTTTGTAAGACAGAAACTGCATTGAAATCTCTTCTAACGGTTCAAAAGGGGGACCTGAAAGCTTATCCAGACCAGAGGAAGGTCCCATGATGGGTAGAGATGCCTCTTGGGAGGGTTAACTTTCCCCACGGCCTTCAAAAATCTAGCAATATTTAAATCCTGGGACCAGCGGACCCCCGTGATAGCTGAAATGGACGACACATGTAACTTGAGCGTGTTGAGACTCAGCTCCCGTTCCAGGCCCCTCTGAAGAAAATCCAGTATAGCCTTAGGAGGAGGGTGGGCAGGGTCGACCCCGTTAGCTTTAGCCCACGTCGAGAACACACTCCACAATCGATAATATGATGCAGAAGTGGACATCTTTCTGGATTTCAGAAGCGTGTCAACGACTGCTTGAGAGAATCCTGATTCCTTCAACCGTTCCCTCTCAATAGCCAAGCCGTCAGGTGAAGGTTCTGAGGATTCGGATGCCGAATCGGCCCTTGACAAAGAAGATCCTCCGACACCGGGATCCTCCATGGCTCCTGGACACTCAAGGACAAGAGGAGGGGAAACCATGGTCTCCGGGGCCAATAAGGGATCACCGCAATGACAGTCATCCGTTCCCTCTCTATCCTCTGGAGTACTGACAGTATCATAGGAAATGGGGGGAAACACATAAGCATGAGTGCAGTTCCATGGGTGTGATAGGGCATCCTGGCCCTCCGCTTGTGGGTTGAAAACTCTCGACAAAAACCTGCCGACCTGACAATTCGCAGAAGAGGCCATCAGGTCCACCTGTGGCCTGCCCCATTTGTGCACCAGCTGGTTGAATACCCGCTTCGAGAGAGACCACTCCGTAGGATCTATGTGATGCCTGCTGAGGTAGTCTGCTACTAGATTCTGCACCCATGGCAGATATACTGCTTTGATGCCTTCTAGATTCCGTGCAGCCCATAACATCAGGAGGGACAGTATCCGCATCATGTTGGGGCTCCTGGTGCCCCCTTGATGATTGACATATGCCACCACAGTGGCATTGTCCACTAACACCTTGACCCATCTGCTCTGGAGCTGGCTGTGAAAAAACCAGAGAGCTTGCAACACTGCTTTCAGCTCTAGCAGATTGGAAGATCTGTTCCTCCATGCCAGTGGCCACATCCCTTGTGCATATTGGCCGTCTAGATGGGCTCCCCAGCCTATTCCGCTGGCGTCCGTGGTGATGGTAATCCATGGAATCTCCCCCAATGGGAAACCCTGGAGCAGGTTCTCGTCCCGGGACCACCACACTAGTGAGCATCTGACCTTGAGTGATATCCCGATCTGCTGTTTCTTGTTCGGATACCGGTACTGGTGGAGAAAAGAACTTTGAGCTTCTCTCATACGCCACTGGGCCCACCGAGTTAGGCCTATGGTGGAGGACATGGATCCCAACAGACTCATGAAAACTTCGGCCGTGACTTGGGTGCATGCCCGGATGAATTCTACCTTCTGTTTGATCTTGGCAACTCTGTCTCTGGATAGCTGAACCACGCCCATGTTGGTTCGGAACTCTGCTCCTAAGTACACCATCGTCTGGGCCGGGGTCAGGTTGCTCTTCTGCATATTCAGCACCCACCCGAAGTCGTTCAGGACTTTCATGGTGAGATCCCTGTGGAAGACTGCCTCCTCTCTCATTGTTGCTAGGATCAAAATATCATCGAGATATGGTAAATGTTGATACCCTGTTTCCGAATCTCGGCAATGACAGTAACCAGGACCTTTGTGAAAGTCCTGGGAGCCGTGCTGAGCCCGAATGGCATTGCTCTGAACTGATAGTGCCTGCGATGGAGACAGAATCTGAGAAATTGCTGGTGTTCTGGTGCCATGGGGATGTGGAAGTATGCGTCCTTTAAGTCTATGGAGACCATCCACATGTTTGGACGCACCACCCTTACGATAGTCCGAAGGGACTCCATCTTGAATTTCCTTAATGCAATAAACTTGTTGAGCTGATGGAGATCCAATACCGGCCTCCAGCCGCCTTTTGCCTTGGGAGTCAAAAACAGATGAGAATAGAACCCCTGGAACTGTTGATTCTCTGGCACCGATAGAATGGCCCCTTGGGCCAACAGATTTTCTACAAACTCCAACATTACATGTCGTTTTGCGGGTTCGCTTGGCAATTTGGTGTTTATAAACCTGCCTCTTGGGGGAAGGAATCTGAATTCGAGCCTGTAACCTTCCCGGAGGATTTCCAGTACCCAGGCATCTGATACTGATCTCGCCCAGAGACCCGAAAACCGTTGCAACCGTGCACCCACTCTCGTGTCTCCGGGGGAGACACCTTCATAAGGTACCTCCTGATTTGGTGGATCCAGCCCCTCTGCCCCTACCACCTCTGGGAGCACCAGATCCACCTCTCCATGCCTGTGAGCGAGAGGACTCTCTCCCGGGTTTATAGGACCTGGAGTACCGAAAGGACGAGTGGCCCTGGCGAGACCTCCAATCCCGATAATTGCGCCTAGCTCTTCTCTCCTGTGGAAGCATGGCCTTCTTGCTCTGAATAGATTTCTTAATATAAGAATCCAATTCCTGGCCAAATAACATCTCCCCTTGAAATGATAGGGAACACAGGCTATTTTTGGAGGACGAATCAGCGCCCCATGATCTGAGCCAAAGCGCTCTACGAGCCACCACCGAGGACACCATGCCTCTGGCCAGACACTGAATCAGGTAGTCGGAGGCTTCTGTGGAGAACTCTGCCGCCAGCCTGATGTCCTGTAGGCTATCAAGGAGCCGGTGCCTGCTTGCTCCTCTTTTTATATTTTCTTCCAGCTCCTCCAACCACAATTTGGACGTGCGAGACACCGAGGACAAGGCTACTGCCGGATGAAGACCCATCCCTAAGGCAGTATAGGTCTTCACCAAGCTGTGCTCAATTTTTCGATCCATCGAAGCCTTCAGAGAGCCTGCGTTGTCTACTGGTAAGGCGGTGCGTTTCTCCAATCTGACCACCGCTGCGTCAATTTTGGGGGCCGTATCCCAAGTGGTGGAGTCCGTGTTACTGATGGGGTAGAGGCGAGCAAACCTCCCTTTAGACCCCATCCTCTTCTCCGACTTATCCCATTCTTCCTTAATGAGGTTTTTGGTAACCTTACTCACTGGAAAGCAGGGTCTATGCTTTCTCTGACCCGAAAAGTGTCTGCTGGAGGGGGACAAGACCTCTTCCTGCTCCCGCATATCCAATGCCTTACGCACCAAAGCGATCAGGGCATCCACCCTCTTGAGGTCTAGGGAAGAGGCCGTAGGAGAATCTTCCTGATCTGAAGATAGGGAATATTCACCATCCGACAGGGACCTCTCCTCCTCTGTATCCACTGAGGAGTCCCAAATTGAGCTTGCCGCTCTTTGCCGTTTACGGGAATGGCCTGCTTGCCTTACTCCCTTTGCCACGGCCTGCTGAATTAAGTCCAAGATGTCCGCAGACGACTTAGAAGTGCCTGCTGCCTCTTTAAGACAGTCCGCACAAAGCCTTTTCCCCGCTACAGCTTTGCATCACAGGCTGAGCATCTGAGCGATTTAGCAGTTTTCTTCCCCGAAGATGCAGAAGATTCCATATCCGCAGGGCTAGAAAAAAATGGAGCAGAAAATCCTGCTTAGTAACATGCACTCTTTTTGCTTTTTTTTTTCTTCCAGGAAAAACTCCTCACCTCAACTCCTTAGATGCAGACCTGTGGGGCAAGAGACTTCTTCCAGCGGCGTCCATAACGAAAAAGAGAGCACAGAGGGCAAAGAAATAGCCAAATCAGCAGAAATTGTACCTTTCCTGTTTTTTTCTTTTAAATCCGGCGCCAAAACCCGGCCAGCGTGACGTCACACGCGTCCCGCTGACGCCCGCGCAGTAGGCTCCTGAAGCCGAAACTGCCCACACCAGTCTTGCCCTCAGACCGCCGCCGAGCCGATATGCACGCAGGCAGACGATCCGAGGGGGGAGAAGCAGCGGTTCCGAGGATCCCCCTTACGTAAGCCAACTCCTTGTCAGTAGGGAAGAGAACAGTTTGGGCGAGAATAGAGCGGGCAGTAGTGCTCATCCAGCAGCCCGATGTCGCTCCTCAAGGGGGCACCCTTGCTCGGGCCCGAACTTGAGGGCTTCCCAGGTGAGAGAGGCTGAACTCCCCTGAGGCATTAACAATATCCTAAAGAGCTAACACTCCAACAACATCGAACATAGAACCCTGTCCTAGGGGGACAGGAACAAAAAAGACTGAGGAGCTGGGGAGTAGGAGGGGCTTTTATGGGAAAGGGTGGTACTGTTTAACCCTTTCTGTTCCTGTCAACTAGGGGTATTAGGACTAAACCCAATTGTCAGCGCTGCCATGGATATGACCAGGAAAGCAACATTACAGAACAAATCCAGGTGAATGTGACCAGCCAATACTAGCTCCACCATAATCTGGATACATGAGAACATTCATAGACAGCCTTTGGAACAGATTGATGTAGGACCTGAAACCCGAAGAAAGTGCATAGATTGATGTGACCCAAGAACTCAAAATCATGGTGGCTCATAGGCAAGTTTGTATCAGAGGTAGATTGCAAAGAATTAGGGGGTTGTTTTACATTCAAGGATAGTTCCTTCCAATTCAGTAAGGAGGAGTTTTGTTTTTTTTGCCATAAAAATAAAGAGTTTGGAATTTTTGCATGGTTTAGTGATTTGTAGATGAGCAATCCAATCCAGGAGACATTTTATACCCATAATAAAATTAAGATCTTGAAAATGTACAGAAGCCATAGTCACCTTTCCTTTGAACTGGACATAGATGATTGACTTCTGACCCTGGAAGATGGCATTCGGCATCTGAGATACAACATTCTGCTCCACATCGGGAGGAAGGGTCCAGTTTAAGGAAATTTCCTTTACTGTGGGCTGTAAGGCGCATTTCAAAGCTTTCAAAACCTGGGGATAGAAGGAGACAGATATAAGACCACGACGTATTGCCTCACTAAGTGTTTTATGCTCTTTGATGTGATCTACGGAATTTGTGAGGTTCAGTTGGAGAGTTTTCTTTTTAATAAAACAAGCCTATGGTGGTCACATACAATAGGGGGTGGCTGGACCTCCACAACTGCTCTGACCACTGAAAACGCATTTCTATAAATATGCATACCATTTCCAGTGAAGCATTTTGGGTCTCGGCAAACCACCATGTTATGCTACCAATTCTGGAAGTGGGGAGGGGGGTGGGGAATAAAACTATTTGGAGCCCCCTTTTAAGCAGAGATCACATCACCAAAGTTCTAGGCTTTTGGGTATGCCAGTAGCACTGGAAGGAGCCTAGAGCAGTAAGGTTAGGAATAAATTCTGCCAGATATAAAGTGCAAGCAGCTTCCCCGAAGCAACCCCATGCTGATAATAACCACCAAATCTGTTCCGACTGGCAAAGCTGCAAATTGTCTTGGCAACGTCAAAGTTTTCTACTCCATTATTTCATCTTGAATGCACATTTGTGTTGACCTCTTTCTAGAATTGACTGTTCTTTGGCCAAGAGGCCAATCAGGTAATGCTGAAAGCTTCACCATCCAGAACAGTCTGCTGTGCAGCTTTTTGTTGGTTAAGCAAGCCATTTATTAACCCAGCACTTAATACTGAAGTATAAATCCACTTTTAAGACTCACTTTTGGCTGCAGACGATCCTTTCCCGTGATGAAGTCATAACTGCCATTTCCTGCCCGGGCCAGGCCTTTAATGAGAGCTGTGGAAGCTCCTTCACCGATCCCAAAAGTGAAACACCTATAATTGCAAAATCAAACAATAGACAAGGCGTGATAAGATTCATCTCCAGTATATTATTACCCATAGGGCGCGATTTTAATCAATCAAATGGTTCAGTCTATCGCCAACTGTAGTAAGGTTTCCAAGCAGACTTGGGATGTATCCTACACAAAAGATGACAGCATTACCGGTGATTGTGCGAGTTTCGATGGACCTCCGCTATCACCTCCTGCGTGTTCCCCACTTCTCCATCCGTGAAAATGAAGACCTGGAGAAAGACCACATAACGTTTATTGCCTTGGTTCTCAACTGGTGGGTCGTGACCCAAAAGTGGTAAAGCAAAACAAACGACAAACGCACTCAACAATTTGTTACCAGTTGGAGGTTGGGCGTCCTCCTGACAGGCCTGCACCCAATTTGATATCTTCTGCCCCCATGTGCTCCAAGATGGAGACTCTCATAGTTTAGAGTTAGGACCGCACTATAAGAGGTGCCTTGGCGCGGCAGTGCGGCTTACACATTCTTTGCAGAAGACGTGTATCCAAACCTCTGTCATTGTCCTTAGTGGTGAGACAAGTTGTTTTACATGCTGGTTTGTGAGTGTGCCATGATGCCTTTCTACTGTGACCCAAAAGTGGGTCGCAACCCTGTGTTCAGTGGGTCGCCGCATGCCTTCCACTTTTCTAGGTGAGAAGCTCCCCAGCCTCCACTAGCACATCACTGTCCATTCTTGCACTGAGCAGCCATTCAAAATATGCTGCCTGGCTCAGAATGTTGACTTGAGGTGGTGGGCTGGGGGTATGCCCGCTAGGGAGCTCCAGCCATATGTGCATTGCTTATAGCTCCCTTACATGTCCTGTGGAGATGCCTGGACCAGAGTGACATCACATCCTGGCTCCCGGCACCTCTACAGGATGCGCACGGGAGCTGTACAAGCAATGCACATATGGATGGAGCTCCGTCACAGCACAGCAGCCCACACTGCCGTGCATTCCATTGTAGTGCGACTTGGGTCGCGACCTAATAATCGAGGACAAACGTGGGTCCTGAGGTTACACAGGTTGAGAACCACTGGTTTATGGCGCAAGCTGGTGCATTCATTTCAGCATTTTTTGTATCTAAACCATAAACAAAAAAGTCTGGAAAATCAGCTCTCATTAACACTAGCCAGAAGGGTGAGAATGTACCAAGCAACTCAAACAATTCTCTTCTTTGGTGCTTAAGAGGTTTCCTTTGGAGCATAGACTTAATGACCTCCAGTCAGAGAAACCAGTTGTACTGAATATATAAGGTTTGATGACGCACCCATAAAGTCATCTCTCATATAAGAGAACTATCAAATAGTGGATGAAATCAGCCCACTCCAGGATCAAATCACAATTTAGGTAAGCCAGTTGACTATCCGAAGTGCTGAACATAGAGATTGTTGTAACGGAGAGTGCTGGCTGCAGCTTTAGAATCATTTAACGGGCATATTGTTGAATGGCTTTTAAATTGACAGTTCTGGCACAATGGCTGTATTTAGTATGCATCTGGGATATAAACCAGCAGCCCTGGCTACGCAGTTAGATAAATTGTCCTATATTTAGGATGCATCTGGTCTATAAACTGGCTGCTCTGGCTAACCAGATAAATGGCTCTATATTTAGGATGTATCTGGTCTGTAAACCCAGGGCTCTGGATGTATAGTTGGATAAATGGCTCCCGATCTTTGCAGTATCGACGATAAACCATAGGATGTATAGTCGCATAAATGGCACTCTGAGGTTGTATCTGGACTATTTACTAGATCACTATTCTGGATGGACAGTTGGCCAGAGAAGCATTAGGAAATTTGCATACCTCTGCCCATTCTCAATGATTAGTGATGAATGTATATGCAATAACCACAAAAAGTAAGAGATACCTTTATGACTTCTCTAAAAGGTCTCTTACTTGTCGTGGGTGTTTTGGTCTTCCTGCCGTTTTATTGATTTTCTGTAGTGGCTGCAGGATCTCAGTTCCTCCCATGTCTGCCGACATCTGGTTCACCTTCTCAACAGCGGCCTCCAGAGTTTCCTGTGTGTACTCCATGCTTTCCCTGTCAAACATCACCTGCATCAGCACATCTTCATTTTATATACACCAGTCTATAAGTGGATTTCACTGTTCACACATAAGGCAGGGGGGGAAAAAACCCCCTATGTAGCCTGGATGAGTTTACAGTATTAGGGTATAAGGGAGGATACAGAAGGTAGAAGACCTTACAATCTATTAGGATATAAGGGAGGATACATAAGGGAGAAGAGCTTACACTCCATTAGGATATAAGGGAGGATACATAAGGGAGAAGAGCTTACACTCCATTAGGGTATAAGGGAGGATACAGAAGGTAGAAGAGCTTACGATATTTTAGGATATAATTATTATATTATACAGGATTTATAGAGCGCCAACAGTTTGCGCAGCGCTTTACAATATAAGGAAGACATTACAGTTACAATAAAATACAAGATGGTAAGGAGGGCCCTGCCCCTGAGGGCTTGCAATCTGAAAGAGGAGGGGGAAATGATAGACAAGGAGGGAGCTGTGTGGGGATAAATTATTTGAGAATGTGAAGGGTCAGTGGTTAGGTCGAGGTGGGATAGGCTTCCCTGAAGAGATGAGTCTTTAGGGAGGATACAGGAGGTAGAAAGCTTACAATCTATTAGGGTATAAGGGAGGATACAGAAGGGGAGGAGCTTACAATCTATGAGTGTATAAGGGAGCATAGACAGTAGAAGGCCTTGCAATTATTAGGGTAGATGGGAAGGTGGAAAAGGTTGAAGATCTTACAATTTAGGTATAAGGGAAAACGTACGATCTGCCCATCTTGGACAGGCAGATTGTACTTGTGATCATCGCAAGCCCGAACAGGCAGTGTGCGCGTGCGCACACCGGCCCGTGCGGCATTGATCTTACGATCATGCTAAAAACCAGCCGAAAAATCGTACGATTCTCGGCTGGTTTTCTAGCATACTCCTTAGACAAAAGACGTGCGACCATACAGTAAAAACGTTCGCACGCCTTCTATACACTTTGCGATTATCGTACAGTGTATGGGCACCTTAAGAGAGATTCAGAAGTTTGAAGAGCTTATTAGTTAGGAAAAAAAATAAAATTGGAGGATACTGAAGGTAGAAGAGCTTACAATTTAGTAGGGTATTAGAGGGAAGGGTTTACTCCTGAAGAAAATGAAGGCTTAAATTTTAACCTCTACAAACATATTTGCTTTGTGGTCATACTGAGCCAGGGGCTTTAGTACCAGCGGTCACCGGACTTGAATCTGAAATCAGTGAAAGATTCATACTTTGACCCACGCTTGCTTTGCATTACTGAATCATTGTAGCCAACAACTGCCCTTTTGTACTCATGTTTGGTCTTCTAGTTTTTATACAGGTGGATTCTACTGGACTGGATGAATTTATTTTAGGTGAATGGTCTTATGTTTATTTTAGGAATACACTATCACTGGAACAGAACTGGTCCTCGTGTACACTATGGAGTAAAAGGTTTGAGGACCTGACCATCACACCTTTATGAGCTTGTTGGACATCCTATTCCAAATGCATGTTAATCACTATGGAGTTTCCTCCCTTTGTGGCTATAACAGCCTCCAGTCTTCCAGGAAGACTTTCTGCAAGATTGGAGGGCGTCTGTGTTAATTTGTCCGATTTATGAGGTCAGGTACTGATATTGGATGAGGAGACCGGGCTTACAATTGGTGTTCCAATTCATCCTGAAGGTGTTGGGAGTAGGGTTGAGCTCAGGGCCCTGTGCAGGACACTCTAGTTCCTCCACACCAAACTGGTCAAACCATGTCTTTAACTGAGTCTTCCTCAAACTGCTGATACAAAGATGGAAGTGCACAATTGTATAAAAGTATCTAATTTATGCAGTAGCTTTAAGGGAGGATTCACATTTCCACATTGCATACAACTTTAAAATGGAACTTCAGGGCACTAAGGCAAAGCACTTGCATTGTAGCATGCCACAAAGGACGGCAATGCATGGTAGCGTGTTACCAAAAAAGGGTCATGTGCTATTTAAGGCACATTAGGGTGCATTGGCGCACATCAACATCTCACAATGATGCACCACAAAAGTAGAGTGGCCTCTAAACCTTCACTGGAAAAACCTGAACTCAATCATTGGAGGGGTGTCTACATTCTTTTGGCTTTTATAATGTATTTCTCTAGAGATCTGAGGAACCACCACTCCCTAAAAGCTTTCAGCTATAATTACTGGACTGTTAGTGTATCCCTAGGCATTTGCTACATTTCTTTAGACAGCTTCAAGAATAATCATCTTCGTTATGGTATCTGAATTTGTCATTGTACCTTATATGGGCAAGTTTCCAGAGGGAGGGGAGCTATATAAACCTCTGCCCAAGGCTCAGTTTGATTTCAACCAGCATCGGTGTGCTGATATAGAGTCTTTCCCACATGCACCCTCATGTGGGGACATGCCGTGCAATCACAAATTAATTAATCTCTTCAGGTTCCCAAAAACGATAGCACTAATACATCAGAGATGTTGTCAAAATGTTGCCATTTCAGTCAAATGCCTTGAAGTCAATTGTAAAGATTAGATATGGATGTCTGGTGGATTTTAAGGGAGCAATGAGCTTTAGATTGCTCCTAAAAATTTCAGAAGCACCTTTTTAAAAAGGAGAACTATGGGGTCAGTGTTTTTCCCCATAGTTCTCCTGGGGGGAACGGGAGGACACAAACTAGCGTCCTCCCGTCACCCTAAGCTCAGTATACCGCGAGCTACGGCTCGCGGTATACTGAGACGCGGCACCTGGAGCGGATCACGACTTAGATGACGGGATCCACCCAGCTGCGTGAGAGGCAGAGCCAGCTGTACCCGCCCCCTCCATTCCACCAGTCAGCGCTGGCAGATCGGAGCGGGGAGAGGGGAATCCAGCCCCTCCCCCTGTCACAGCAGAGAGCCGTGACAGGATCGAGAGGTGAGGGAACCCGGTATGTGTTCCCTCACCTCCCGATCTACTGAGCCGATCTGTGACAGTCTCATTGTCACAGGTCGGCTTAGAACTATGACGTGAGTGGAAATCACTCATGTCATAGTTCTCCTTTAAACATTCTGGACCTGTTAATGTGCCAAAACGCAGGACGGCCACTTGTGATCATTTAAAAAAAAATGTGGGTGTGTAAGTGGGGACAACCAGAGTGGGAAATGTGAAGGTTACATAAACAATTTAGATAAAACATTTCAATAACTCAACAGATGTCACTGTCCATGTACTGGTGGGTTGAAGCAGGACATTAACTGGACTTGGTGCCCGTCACTGTTGCGCAAGTGAACTGTCTGGCCACCCCCCCAGCAGGGACATGCTCTTACTGCTGCCAGAAGGGGACCACAACGCAGCATGCCGGTGCGCCAAGTCACATCCCTGTTCTAGCCTTCCTCGGACAGTGAAATAGGCAGTGGGCCTAGTCTTCGTACCCTAAAAGAGGAAAGGACTGGGCGTACCCTAAAAGAGGAAAGGACTGGGTGGCAAGGATGGATGAGAGCCCCACCACCAAGGAGGGTGAGGCAAAAGGGGTGGGGGATGTAGGACTGCAGACAAGAATCCCAAGCCGAACCTTCTTACAACAGGTTCCAAGCAATGGATCTCCTATGGACAGAGGAACCACTAACTGACAAGTCTGACAGAAGAACTTCCTTTTGAAAAAAAGTGTTTTTGGTGAGGGGGTCTCCAGATCCAGTAGTTTATTACATGTGGAGGGGGTGCCCATCTCTTATGTGATGTCCTGGAAGATTTGGTAAATTCCCTTCTACACCTAAAGTAATGTACTTACGGAAAGAAAGCCTCAAAGTGGGAACCAAAGCCATAGATATTGAAGTAGCATCCGAGGGGTAAACTCTTCAATAGAAGTACCAGTGTCTCCTGGAGGGGAAGATAGGAAAAATCAGAGCTGTATGTATACAAATTTCCATATAGCAAGGGGCTCAGATTCATTATGCCAATCCAAAAAACAGTTTTCTAGTATTAGAGAAGAGTGGTGAGAGACTAGAACCTGGTCTGTTTTTTTCATTGCTATCCAAGGCTCCATTGGAGAGATCTTCCCTTACTTTTGGTCCCAGGACAACTATTTTACCGGACAGGAAGTTAGGGAAAATCATTTTTTTCTGTCGGTGTTGCCGTTTGAGAGTTCCCCTCACTTCCTTTATAGTGAAATGCCAGTAGGACAGGAAGTGAGGAGGATACATCTCTCCAAAAGGAGACCTAAATAGCAGTAAAAAAACCTAACAGGTGAAGAAAAACAAAAAAAGGTTTGGCTTGACCCTTTAAAAGGGAATTTGAGGACAGATTTAAGAGCTGCCATAGATAACTGGTTTTTTTAAAAAGCACAGGCTCCGGGTTTATAATACTCATCCTCCCTTCATGACCTAATGATACGTTGGTCCGGAACAAGCAAGCAGACACTGAAGCTTGCACCTGGGAGAAAAAAAAAAAAACACATCTACATCATATTTCTTCCTACAGGAGGTCTTTTAGGTGGGTACTGAACTTCCAGAAGCGGGGTGGGGTGTTGTGCCATGCCAGAATATGGATGTAGACCACACTTCCCTCCAAGCTGACCCTCCTCCAGCACTGTGCTCGCTTGCTGCTCCATCTGCTGCCACCATCTGCTTCTCGCTTCTTTCAGTTCATTGTCTTTTTACTTGGTCAAAAGTTGGCCGCCAAGGATGCAACCTCTACACATCCCTGCTGGATTTACATTGGCTGGATACCTGTATTCTGTAAGATGCCAGGAGTGTACACTCCAAGCATCTTACAGATGTACATCAGCGGTGCACACAGAAAAAAAAAACAACACTAGAGAAAGTGGTATGGAGTTTTCCTGCAGAAGAGAATATTTCTTATGTCAATACAAATACCTCCAAATAGCTCATAATATTGGAATTAACAGTTGGCAGTCAAAGTCTTTTTTGGGAGAGTTTTTTTGTTTTGCCATTTTGGAGGTGGAAGCAACAAGGGGAGGTCATGGATGGTTGCTTCCTCCCCTCCCCCAATTCCTTTGATTCCTAAACACATACTACTTCATGTATGAAGGCATGGTATACAGACCTTAGCACTCTGAATGCGCATTGGGGCATTCGGTTCAGAGTTCATCGCACAATCCATGCTGCCGGACCGGTCCACAACAAATATGAACTCTCCGCACTTTGACTGTTCCTGGCTTTCTGGAAAGCTGGGGTAGAAATTCAACATGGCGACAGGATAGGCCATAAAATAACCTTAATGGAGGAAAGAATCAGAAACCAAACATCACAACGGAATGGCAATATGTAAAGGTTCCAATGGAAAAGGGAATGAACAAACAGACACCAGGGATTCCTCAGCGTGCTGGAAAACCCATCTAAACCTGAACAGACAATTCCATAACGTGACAAATTAACTGACCTTCTCCAGCATCTGGAAGACCCGATTCCAGAGTGACGCTGGGCTTGTTGACTTCATTGTAGTAGGCAAGAAGTTCCACGTCGCGGTCAAATTTATGACCCTCGGCCAGCGCAACCTACGGGGATATGGGAAGAAGATTAAGCTTTACCTCTGAGGTTTTAAGCTGTAATATATAAAAGGCGAGAAGTCAGAAGAGATCGGTCCCCTTACCTTGGCCTCAGTCTTGTCATTGTTGGTGTACTGGATTGGGGTGAGGTCACATGAACTCTCAATCTTGTTAATGCCATAAGCAGATTGGAATTGGGCCGCAAGGCTCAGCGTGTATGGGATCTCACTTATCGGAACCTTGGGTAGATTGGCTGTAATGCTCTCCTTCTCATCTTATGGAAGAACCGGAAATGCAGTGAGTTAAGTAACAATGGGTATGTACCAAATAATCACATCCTGTAGGAATCATGGCTTTTCTGACCGGACTTTCAAGGCACTGGTCTGTTATGATAACCCCCCTGACAACCCTCCATAGATGCACACAGAATTATAGGATGGGAGGCCCCAACACCTTCTTATGCCCTTTTCTTCACGGCATCATGACTGATGCAAAAAAGTTGCCCCACACATGAGGAGAAAGGGAATAGACCACAGAGGGTAGAAAACACAACTAAACATTAACCAACCATTTGCAAATTGGTTAGCCTTGCAGCGTTAGGCTCCTGGGATGAATTCCAACCAAACTTATAACTACATGGCGTTTGTATTATGCATGCTGTCCTTGTGCCTGTCCTCCCATGACTTTGTAATATATTGGTAGGTCAGTTGACCCACACACTTCACACCATTGGAGGGGGGGTGACCCCAGAAAGACAGTCATTTTGGTGTCACCCCCTCTAAAAAGTCAGGCACTCCGTCATGGAGCAAGAGCCCAACAGTGTCAGGAGAAAGGAGGGGACCTGTGAGCATACCTCATCCCACCGGGTGAACATCCTCTGCCAGCGTCCATCACTAAGATGGCCGCCAGCAAGCATCAATTAGATGACCGCGCATGCACAATGAGGTTGGGGGCGGGGTGTCACTCGGTCTCAGCTCCGGGTGACACCCGGCCTCGGGACACCTCTGCATATTCCACAGCTCTGTACGCAGAACACATCAGTGTCTGCACCAGAGGAGCTTACATTCTAATGTCTCCACCAATGTCACACACTATTACAATAATTTAGGCCATTGCACAGAGCTGTATGAAGAACACCGACTCATTCACACGAGTCCCAGCCTTGAAAAGGAGAATACATTCTTATATTCCAACCGCAGTCACACATGACTAGGTCATTCTGGCAAACTCTGCTTCAGCAATCCTTGCAGGAACCCGGCATTGGGGCTCAGCACTATAAGGCGTCATACTAACCAATGATCCAAAAACAAATACATTGCTGCAGGTTTTTAAAGAATTCAAGGTGTGTTCGGTCTTTTCTTAGTTTTAGGCAATTATTCCCAAAGCTCTAGACAAACCGCTAAAGAAACAGATGACAGAAGTCATCTCTCAAACAGAGACAGTCATTTTGTATGTTTTGCACGCCACACCAATCTCGTTTCTTCTTTTACCAACCAACGCCCCTTTGCTCTCGATCACATACACTCATTCCTACATTCTTCTCAGGGATAGCCATGCAACTTCACTTCCTCTATTGCCTAAAAAAAAAAAAAAAATGCATTTGCATTTTATCCTCCAGGGGACCAGATGCATGTAGCACTTGGTCCTGTTCAGATCAGAGGCCCCATTGTGGAATAACAGCACCTCTTTAGCTTAATGCTGCTGCAGCTCCACTCCAGGTTTAAAAAGGAGAACTATGAGGTGGGTGTTTTTCACTCACCTCATAGTTCTAGCCGACCTGTGACAATGAGACTGTCGCAGGTCGGCTCAGTAGATCGAGAAGTGAGCGAACACATACCGGCGTTTGCTCACCTCTCGATCCTGTCACGGCTCTCTGCCGTGAGAGGGGAGGGGCTGGATTCCCCCCCTCCCCGCTCCGATCCGCCAGCTCTGACTGGTGGATCGGAGGGGGCGGGTACAGCTGGCTCTGCCTCCAGATAGGCAGAGCTAGCGGTCACTCACGCAGCTGGGCGGATCCAGACATAATTGTCGGCATCCGCTTCAACTGCGGCGTCTCAGTATACCACGAGCTGTAGCTCGCAGTATACTGAGCTTAGGGTGACGGGAGGACGCTAGTTTGTGTCCTCCCGTTACCCTAAGGAGAACTATGGGGAAAAGCCTTAACCATAGTTCTCCTTTAAAGCCTAAAATATGAGCATTCCTATGGGAGGGGCAGTACTGAGCCCCCACCCTCTCCCTTAGATGACAATGTATATTAATGAATGGGCAATCAGTGCTGTGTGAGTGCTGCTATATAGTACCAGGGCCTTCCTAAACAATATTAATTTTATATCCAGTCAGGTTGACCCTCGTTATATAATTAGTCAAATCTAAAGCAGATCATACAAATCAGGTGGTAATGTGTGGGGCCAGTACTTAAGAGCTGGATGTCACCCAATTTGCCCCTATTACAATCCTCAGACTCCTCTCACCTGTTAAATGTAACAAATATTCTCTTACCTTTAGGGGTGTATCTGGGATTGAGGACAGCAGGTAAAACAAAGCGCACAGCTCCATCCGCCTCCACCGACAGCTCCGCTACGTATTTCAGGGTGACCTCAGCCTCCTGACCGGGAGGGAGATTCCCAACGCTGCAGCTGAAGATGTCCCCGGAGCTCTCATCCTCTTGCAGAAGGAAGGCTTGTTGACCCTGGCTAATGGCCTCATCATAGGTCTTTTGAGCCTGACAGAATAATGAGAATAGCATAACTCAAGGGGAAGTAGGAATGCAAGCCTCACTATACTTTCTGCTTTGTAAACACCCCAATAGCTTCCTTCCTAGAATTTACACCACGATTAAAACCTTGGACATTGAACTGTGAGGAAGATAAAGATATGCTACATTGCCAAGTGTATATGGACATTTGACTAGGATACCCATGTTGTTGAACATCCCAATCCAAAACTACGGCCTCTGATTTAAAGTTAACCCACCTTTTGTGGCTATAACAAATTCTCACAGAGACGCTCCAGAATCTGTGTTCATTAAGCCAAAACAGCATTTGTAGGGTCAGGTACTGATGTTGGATGACAAAACTTTGCTTGCATTCCAGTTCACAGCAAAAAGGTATTCAGTAGGGCTGAAGTCAAGTAGGAGGAGAAGACCTGGCTCATAATTCACCCCAAAAGGTGTTCAGTAGGGTCAGGGCCAGATTTATTCTCTCTGCTGCTCCAAGGCCAGGTTCCTCAATGCACCCCCCTACCTGACAACCCCCCCCCCCCCCCCATGGAGAATAGCAGACCTGCAGGCTGCATACAAGTGATCTCGGCGACAATCGCCAATATCACTTGTACAAAACAAGCGGCGCCTTCCCCACTGTACATTTAGCTTTGCTTGCCCAAAGCAGGGCTAAAGGTAGAAAACTCGCCCGACGCCCAGAACTGCATGTCCCAGGCATCAGGAGATAGGAATTCCACACCCCTGCTGCCCCTCTACTCCCTGCTGCCCCAAGGCTGGGCCTTGGTTGGCCTAGTGGGAAATCTGGCCCCCAGTAGGGTTGAGGATCAGGACTCTGTGCAGGACACTTGGGTTGCTCCACACCAAACTGGTCAAACCATGTCTTCATGGAGCTGGCTTTCTACACTGGGGACAGTTATGGTGGGACAAGGGTCTTCACCAAACTATTAGCACAAGGGTGGAAGGGCACAATGATCTAGAGGTCTTTGTATGCTGCAGCATTAACAGTACCAGTCACTGGACACATCTGGATCCGAGTTAGAGGGGTGTTCATACTTTTTGACCATATAGCTAAAGTAGGTGTTCAGGTCAGGTGTCCACAAACCTTTGGCCATATAGTGAATAGAGATGGTCTGGCAAAAGGGAGGAGAATT